CAAGCCTGAATATTTTAATTATATCATTTTCATTAATATTCACTTTATATATAACAGTCAAAGATATAGATAAATATTTATATTTAATGTATATAGCTACATATAGCACCTCATACAAAGAGGTGATACCATTTCAGTTTTTCCACATTTTAACATGTTGATGCACCTAAATGCTAGACACTGTATTGTTGTGGGTGTTTATGGATAAAATTATGCTCTTATTTTACGGTTAACCGGCTGATTAATAAATACATGTATTACAGTAAAGTGAAAAAACAAGTTTCGTGTAAGCACATTTTCTACCCAAATAATATTCAAAAAAAGATCTTATATGTAAGTAAAAAAATAAAGATTTAATTCATCGTTAGTGATATTTAAGTTGTAGTGCACAGTATAAGGACAGAAAGTCACCGAGACTATTCAAGCTGTGAAGGACTGTGTACTTACAGATAAAAGCTGAATCATTTTTATCAGCTATAATCACATGTTAGCGGTGACAGAAATTCCATATTTCTGTGAGCAGCAAGTTTAGTGTTTCATTATGTCAGTAGATGGGAATAAATGGCCTAAAATTACGTTTTACTCGGAGAGGGCTTGGTCTTTCCCCCCTGCGGGCCCGTCTTCATTTGCTTGTGTTGTCTATTATGCGAGGTAAGAAGTAGATAGCCTTCTGTCCCATGTGGGTCCTCGGTCCAGCCTTGGGCCGTCCGTTCTTCTTGATGCCAACATACCAGCCTTGGTCCTGGTACTTCTGACACATGTAGGTGTTGTAGTGATTCTCCTCCAGCTTCTCCAGAAAGTAACAGTCGTCATTCAGGTTGGACTGGAAAAATGTGGAAACAAAGGTGAAGCTTAGCTCACCTTTGCCAGAAATCATTTTACACAATAAAATCAAGGTCAACAAACGATTTGCCAGGAAGCTCACTGTGCCGTAAAGCTGGCCCTGCTCGTTCATGGCCAGGTATAGCGCCGCCTCCCGGCCCTCGATCACCACCACACCGATGCTGACGGCTTTCAGCCGCATCACATCTGCAACAGGGAAGCGGCGCGTCAGCAGGAGATGGGACCAGACGCCATCCTGACACTGTGGCTGAAGCTGGATGTCGAAGCTGCCCGTCTGACACGGCACCCAGATCCCGTTTTCAGCAGTCACACACTCATCACTATCTAAATCCACAAGCTAAGCGATGCAGGTGCTTATTAACAACGTTAACAGCTGTGCCCCAGAGCCCCCGGCTGCCATCAGCCTCCTGAAATCTGATGAAATGCATGCCAAGTAAAATGACTCACCGTATATCACTGGCTAAGATCAAAATACAGCAAAGGTCTGTCATGTGGCCACGTTACCAGAGGCAATGCCGTTCTACATCAAACACCTTTCATTGCTCGTAGATAAGTGGGGGAGCCTTTTAAAACGCCGGTGCTAGAAGAGCAGCACGGCACTAATAAGGCAATGGCGCTGCTTATCAAAATGTCAAAATACCACCCGCCCGCAATTAATCTGCCGAAGGCAAGCGATCGGAGGACGATGGGAGAGTGCCGGCTGCCCCGTCGCCCCGGTACCGGCGCGGCGACCTGTTAACAAACAACTGCTATCAGCCTTAATCTCGCCGGCAGCCTTACTGTAAGCGTCGCCCTCGTCTCTGCTGCCCTCCACCGTGCCATCAGGCAGGATCCGCAGATGATATCCGCCGTTCAGGCAGTACAGGCGCGTCAGCTTCTTGTAATCTTGCATGTCGATCCCGAAATTCTCCGGGCCCAGCGGAAACACCGTTATCTCCCCTTCCGTCATTTTGCTGGCAGCCTCCGGGCGTCCCGATTACGGTAAGAGTAGGTGCGCCTGTAGCGTAGTGACGGGGTATGTACCACTCTCCCGGAGGGGGTCCGCGGGGCGCTGCACTGCCGCCCTCATCGGCCTCCGATCGGGCCCCCGCTTATCCCAGCAATCTGGGAAAGTACCCAGCGCTCCGCCAGTTCTGTAAGCAGCCAAAGGTGCCCCGGGACAAGCCTGTGCGTGTGCCGACAGAAAAAAATAAAATAAATAAAAAATCGAGAAATCACGTAAGATCACATTAAAATTCCGTTAATCCACAAGAAAATACCGGGAAAGCATATCAAATTATCTTTACATGTTTATAATGCAACCAGATACCAGGAGGTCAAAGGTAAGAAAGCCACGATGAATATTTACAGAATGATGCCCCTGCAAATTTCCGGCTAATATCATCAGTCCAGGATCGTCACTAACTTCGCATTCCACATATGTGTTTATTTTAAAACATACCCGCCTCCAGAAGCGATTCTTATCGGCTTTCCTTCATGAAGAAAAGTAGAAATGATTTAACGAGTTTTCCATCTAAGGAAACTCTTTTGCTGCTGTCAGTGCAGCTCACCCATAAATCCACATCAGAACAGTAGCTGTAGTAAACCCCGTTATCATTAAAAACCAGAAATCTGGCAAGTCTCTACATCCAAAAGAATTTTGGAAAAGTGTCAGCGGCTGCCAGAAAAAGCAGCCTGTGGAATGTGAGGGTAGGCTACTGTGTAGAAGGACCATTTTCCTGGAAGTTCATTCTGTTACTGGCCATGGGCAGCCCGACAGCCCCCTGAAATGCAAGCAAGTCGCTCCAAGTGTGTGTCTCCCGTGACAAGCAGCCGGACGGGGAGCTTGAAGAGATTTACCTGTGAAAATGCCCCTGGAGAATCGCCAAAGGTGGCAGCATTTCCGTATACCATGTCTGCAAACGGGATAGTGAATGAGCTCTCAGTGGTCTGCTGGACATCCTGGCTCTGTCTATGTCCTTCGCTCTCTCGCCCACAAGTGTTCATCCCTTATAAGCACACCCTACCCTAAGATGGCTCTCACAAGTCTATATTTATCCCAGCTAGTGAGCTTGGCAGCTGAAAATGGGCAATGTCATATTCCCATCCGGTCAAAGTGAGTGGTACGTCCGGGCAATTCACCTGGTTTGAACTGGAAGGTAGGAAAAGGTTTCAGAAGTTCGTTGAGGACTAAGTGGGAGCCATTTTGTCATTTTGTCTGAAGGTTTCTAAGAGAGGGGCCATAGAAAATGAATGCAAAGCAAACAGCAGGCACTCAAAAGCAACTCACTTTATTTAATTTCTTTCCTTCCTTTTTTCCCGTTCTGTACTTCTCTCTAATGATGTTTTATGTATCACAACACATCCATGTAAAGCGCTTTGGGATGACTCTGTTGTGAAAGGCGCTATATAAAAATAAATTGAATTGAATTGAACTGAGCTCACTTATGAGCAAAATGAACACTGTGAGATCTGGTTAACATCCCCAGCATACAGTGTAACATCACAATCCGAGCTGCAATAATGTGGTCATTGATTTATAAGAAGGTGCCAGCCGTTGCAAAGCCAGCATTCAAGTGATTTGTGTAATTTACTTAGTCACAGGATCCACCATCCCTCAGGAACATCCCTGCTCTTGCTCTGATAAACACTCATTTTAGCTGCAGGGGAGTCTCACAAGGTCACAAGGTCAGTCTCTGCTATTTTCCTTTTTAAATCGGTGACTTTAGGCAGCAGATCCACAAAAGTCAGCCAGCTAGCAGGTTTTTCCTGCATCATGGATCCCATCCAGGCCCAGGACCCCTCAGGGTACATCTAAGGAGGCGTGGTGAGTTACTCTGAGACCTCCAGGGTTGAAGGTTCTCCTTGCTGCCTGGTGTGTTTGCAGTTTGCACGTTCTCCTCAGCGTTTGTGTGGGTTTTCTCCCTCAGTTTCCTGCCGCAGCCAAAAAACATGCTGTTCAGGCGGAATGGCTTCACCAGTGCATGCTGGGATATGATCCACTTTTACCACAACGTAGGGTCGTATATGGGGTTATGCCCATAGTCATGACAGTCAGTATAAGGCTGCTCATGTTGTCACCTGTCTTGGCATGACGTCACCTACCTTGGCATTTCCAAACACTTCATGAGAATTGTGAGGAATTTTTGTACTAATAATTTACTCTAAAGAAACACAATAAATGTGTTATTGGCACAAACATCAGGGATACTCTGCATCTTGTTACACTGTATCAGCTCATCAAGCCCCATTAACAAAGGCAAAGGATGGAGGTCTGAAAAGTACAGATTAAGAAACAATGGTCTGAGGATCCCTGAATAGGATAGGCGGTTACAGAAAATGGATGGATGGATGGATGGATGGTATGAGTGTTTACTGTAACCTGCCTGGATGTTTTATTAAAAATGATTGCAGTTCCTATGCTGTACCCCACAAATTATCCATTTAGTCAAAGCAGTGATGTCATTAAGAGTATCAGTGTATCAGAGTATGCAGTCGCTCTCCCATTCTGGCATGACCCGGCTGCAGAAAGCCTTTTGACAGCGGCATCAAATGCTTAGCAGGGGAAAACTTGAAGCAACATTCTGGCATGTCTAAGAAATGCAGACAGGAAAGGATTAGCTCTAGAATGGCTAAAAAGCCATGTGGATCCATCTCCATGGTTCACAGTGTGTGTGGAGTTTGAATGTTCTCCAGTTGAAAGACAAACAGTTAGGATAATTGGCTTAATTGCCCGTAATGTGTGAGTGTCCTACGATCGACACCGTGACCTTGTATTAGAGAAGCAGTTATGGAAAACGTGAATGAGTTATGCAACTTTAACTTTAAGACGTATTTACATTGTTACTCTGCCCGCCTAGTCACACACTAAAAATACACGAATTTTTCAAAATCAGAAGAATCTCCCTAGGCATAAAGGCTCAGTAAAGAGATTACCTAAAAAGGCTGCCATGTGTTACCGCGG